TTCATAGGTTTGTGGGTTAAAATTTGGGTCTTCTATATGATTCCATTTGTCGACTTCTCTGTTTTTATGCCAGTACCAAACTGTTTTCATCACTGTAGCTCTGTAATAGAGTTTGAAGTCAGGGATGGTAATGCCTCCAGAAGATCCTTTATTGTATAGGATTGTTTTGGCTATCCTGGGTTTTTTGTTTTTCCATATAAAGTTGATTATTGTCCTCTCAAGATCTGTGAAGAATTTTGATGGGACCTTGATGGGGATTGCATTGAATCTATAAATTGCCTTTGGTAGAATTGCCATTTTTACTATGTTGATCCTCCCAATCCAAGAGCAAGGGAGGTCCTTCCATTTTCTGGTATACTCCTCAATTTCTTTCTTCAATGCCTTAAAGTTCTTGTCAAATAGATCTTTCACTTCCTTGGTTAGAGTTGCCCCAAGATATTTTATGCTGTTTGTGGCTATCGTGAATGGTGAAGCTTCTCTGATTTCCCTCTCTGCTTCCATATCCTTTTTGTATAAGAGGGCGACTGATTTTTTGGAGTTGATCTTGTATCCTGCCACATTACTAAAGGTGTTTATCAGCTGTAAAAGTTCTTTTGTGGCGTTTTGGGGGTTGCTTATGTACACTATCATATCATCTGCAAATAACGAAAGTTTCACTTCTTCCTTTCCAATTAGAATCCCCTTGATCCCCTTATGTTGTCTTATTGCTATTGCTAGAACTTCAAGCACTATATTGAAGAGGTATGGCGAGAGTGGACAGCCTTGTCGTGTTCCTGAGTTTAGTGGGATGGCTTTGAGTTTCTCTCCATTTAATTTGATGTTAGCTGTCGGCTTGCTGTATATAGCTTTTATTATATTTAGGTATGACCCTTGTATCCCTAATCTCTCCAATACTTTTATCATAAAAGGATGTCCTCTTGGCTATGGGAAGTAGACTTAATTGCCGGGGAGAAAATTGGGATCTTGGGGGTGGGGTGGAATGGGGGTAAGGGGAGATGGGGAGAGAAACGGGAGAAGGGGAGAATGGGGGGAACTTGGGGAAAAAGGAAGATTGGGATAAAGGAAGGTAGGATAGGGGAGCATGGAAGCACAATTCTTAGTTAAGGGAGCCACCTTAGGGTTGGCAAGAGACTTGAACCTAGAGTGGCTCCCAGGAGCCCAAGCCGAGGTCCTCAGTTAATTCCTTGTGCAGCTGAGGATAGGGAACCAGAAATGACCCTAGCCTATAGCAATACTGACGAATATCTTGCATATCATCATAGAACCTTCATCTGGTGATGGATGGAGATAGAGACAGAGACCCACACTGAAGCACTGGACTGAGCTCCCAATGTCCCAATGAGGAACAGAAGGAGGGAGAACATGAACAAAGAAGTCGGGACCACGAGGGGTGCACCCACCCATTGATACAGTGGAGCTGATCTACTGGGAGCTCACCAAGGCCAGCTGGACTGTGACTGAAAAAGCATGGGTTAAAACTGGACCCTCTGAACATGGTGAACAATGAGGGCTGATGAGAAGCCAAGGACAATGGCACGGGGTTTTGATCCTACGCAATGTGCTGTCTTTGTGGGAGCCTAGCCAGTTTGGATGTTCACCTTCCTAGATATGGACAGAGGGGGAGGACCTAGGACTTACCACAGGGCAGGGAACCCTGACTGCTCTTTGGACTGGAGAGGGTGGGGGAGAGGAGTGAGAAGAGGGGCAGAAGGATGGGAGGAGGGGGAGAAGGGTAGGAGGAGAGGGAGGGAAATGGGAGGCTGGGAGGAGGTGGAAACTTGTTTTTTTTTCTTCCTTTTCTCAATAAAAAATAAATAAATAAATAAAAATTGTCTCCTGGCTCTGCCTTCCTGGCCTAGGATTAAAGGCATGAGTGACTACAGCTCATGAAATTGATTATTTTTAATGTTTAAATAGGAGTGAGAAAAAATTCATATTTCATTTTTCAATCATCTTCTTTGTTTCTATTTTCCAAATTGTTGATATCATGGTAAAGTAACCACAGGCTTATACCATGTGCGCTTCTGACTAAAAACAGAGGGAGATGATAAAAGTGTTAAAACCATAGAGGATTTTTTTTGTTCTCTTAAGATAAATTGCATAATGAGCAAACAATGAATGAAAGGAACTATGAACTGGAAAAGGTTGGCAAATTTTTCATCAAACATACGTATCCATTGTTGTCCAATGTCATCTCTTTTGCTAAAATCATTAAAAGGGTTGCACATGGTCACAAACTTATGACCATTATATACACATGCACATCATTTTTATCATTAATTTTTCTTTATGTTTTTGATTCATCACCACTTTAGTCTATACTATTTGGGCAGATTTGGAGATTGTTTAAACCATAGGTAGCATATAAAAACAGCAAACTTACTGGATTTGCAGTAGACAGATGAGTGTTTAGAGTGAGTTGGATTAGTTCAATCCACACTGTGTGGAATCTGCTGCACATGGAAACTATGGCCCAGAAGAAAAGATGTTTTGTTTTCACAAGCCAAAGACACACCAAAGTACAGAGGACTGCAGTATCTGCAGAACCAAGTACTCCAGCTCTCAGTTCATGGGCAGTAAACATTATGGCAAGGACTTCCACAGCTGTTTTGGGTTGCACTAGATTTGCTCACTCAGTAGACACCTGCAGTGCCTGTGTACTGCTTGTGAAAAATGGAAGAAGTTGCCAAGAGGATCAATGAAAACAAACAAACAAAAAAAGAAGTAAAAACAAAAGTAGAATCATCTGGTAGATGCAAGGGCGGGACTCAGTCTAAGGACAAACGATCTTCATACACTTGGTTCTAACTGGTGGCAACTGTATGTGGGGGTGAGTGTGGGTGTGTGTGGGGTGAGTGTGGGTGTGTGTGGTGTGAGTGTCGGTGTGTGTGGGGTGAGTGTCGGTGTGTGTGGGGTGAGTGTGTGTGTGGGGGTGAGTGTCGGTGTGTGTGGGGTGAGTGTCGGTGTGTGTGGGGTGAGTGTCGGTGTGTGTGGGGTGACTGTGTGTGTGGGGGGGGTGAGTGTGGGTGTGTGTGGTGTGAGTGTCGGTGTGTGTGGGGTGAGTGTCGGTGTGTGGATGGGTGTATATGCACTACAGGCATGCTTGGTGCTGAGGTCAGAAGAAGGTATTGATTGGGCCCCCTGGAATTTTAGTTTCAAATGAGCTCCCTTATGGGTTCTGGAAACCAAACTCAAGTGCTCTCCACTACTGAACCATCTCTCCAAGTGCCCAACTCACACTTCTTAAATTTAGCAGATGAAATGATATTTTGAGTAACCTATATGAAACAGCCTTATGGAATTTTATCAACTGTTTTGTGACATAAACCAATGGGTGGGACCATTTCAGAGCTTTGAATGAATTCTTCTGACTCTGTTCCGAATATTCCTACTGTAAGTAGATGACAGTGTTGGAACAGGCCCTTATTCTACAGCTTCCCAATGTAACAGACATGGTTTAGGAGTGAGAGGTTGGAAGGCATCTCCAGAATCCAAACTTGCAGCTCAGCAGTTCCCCTCTGCTGTGGGCACCCTTTGCTCATGCATTTCAAAGGCCACGTTCAGTGGTTTGCTATCCCAGGATCACAATGAGCAATTGTGATTGGACACTGGGATAGAACTAATGTAGTGCAGAACAGGGAGTTCCTTTCTTTCCAGAGCCCTTCTTCATTACATTCTCTTAAATATGGCTGTTAATATAAAATCTAGTTCATAAAGACCGGAGAAGGCTATGTCATTTACATCCAAGGTACTACCCTCCTGTGTAGTCCTGCCTGGATGTGAACTCACTGTGTAGCCAAGGCTCCTGGAATGTTCAGAAATTCATCTCTTCCCGTGAGTTCTGGAGTCACAGGAGAGCAACCCCACACCTGACTCTAGAAGAGTGGTAAAATTGATGAGTCGAAAATTGCTTTTTATTCATAAATATAGTCATTTTACTCAATAGGGGCTTTAGGAAGGGTAGTCAGTATATACAGTGTTGAGCCTTAACCAACTATTAAAACAAGAAAAAAGAAATTATCAAAAACCAACAAAATTTAAACCAAAGCAAAGAAAAAAATATTCAGGCAAACGAAACCCAAACCAAAACCAGAACCTCTCCCCCAAATTAAGCTAAAAATATTCTCTTGCTCTAGATCCAACAAAACCATCGAGAGCATCTGGCTCCCTAAAGACACCAAAGGTGACCAAACCTCCTCTACAGACCCTTTCTCAGGACTGACATGCCAGTCCAGGATGTGAAACTGGAGAATCCCCTGACATTTTCTTTATGGATGATCAGTGAATAACACAGGTGAGGGATGCTGTAGTCTCTGTACTGCGTTATCTTCACCAACACTTTCCTGTGACATGGAGTCTCCCTCAGCACTCACAGGAGAGGGAATCCTGTTCTTTTCCCTGTGGTGTGTACAGACTACAGCATGGCATCAGTACAGTCTTTCTCGTGAGAGTGCTCACCACATATGGAGGGCTCGGCCGGCTTACTAAAGACATGGAGAGTAAACTGGCAGAGTAAGCCTTGTTTAGCAACATATCCTCCCCATGCTGCTGTGTGCCACTCAGGGTCCACCTGCTGACCGATGTCGGGATTTGGAGTCATTCTTGGTGGGTCCTCTGAATGTCAGGCTTCTTTCTGATGATTTCCTTTCTCCAGGAATAGTGGGACAACAGAACATGAATCAGATTGGCGATGGATCCGCTGCAGGAGGTGGAGATTGTTCTTACTCATTTGTTCACAGCTACAAGGAGGGGTCTGCTTCTCAGTAGGTGTTGCTGCTCGAGTGGAGAATGTGTGAAGCTTCCTTCAGCCTCCTCAGTTCTCCAAAGCGGAGCTGTCAGAGAAGGAAAGGCAATCAGATGCATAGGAAGCCTCACTGGACCTATGACAAAACCAGGACCTGACCACACATGGGAAACAAACGTCAAGGAAGAAAACCCACCCCATGAATGCCAAGGTTGCAGGGGATAGTAGTCAATGGTGGCTCATTGGCCTGGCACACTCAGGGCTCCTGCTGTAGCAGGTCTGTCTGCAGGAGGCTCTCATCCTGGACTGTGGCCAGTTCCAGATCATGCTGGAGGTTTTCAAACCTAGGGGAGGAAGACAGCGGGGACACAGGTCTGTTGGGGACCTGCCCTGCCAGCTTTTGAGCTCCCACCAGCTCTACTCAACTGCACAATGCATTACATTTGAGCTGGGCTCATTCACTCTTTGCTTCCTCAAGGATAAGACAACACCTGAGTTTCTTTTTTCTCCACTTTTAAAGCTGCTAGAAATTGAACTGAGAAATACACACCATGGTGAACTAGAAAAACAGTCCAGAATGCTGGGAGGAAGGGGAAGTAAGCAGAGACTCGATAGCTCTCCTCTCTGGGGCAGACGTGATGAAGCTCCGACCCAAAATGGACATAGGCTAGAATCTTCCCAGTAAGTGCACCTTGGGGTGCTACACACATTTTTAGAAATGGGCTAGTACAGGTGTGAGAGTTAGCTATGAAGAGGCTAGATATAATGGGCCAAGCAGTGTTTAAAAGAATACAATTTGTCTGTTATTTCAGGGCATAAGCTAGCCAGGTGGCCGGGAGCTGGGTGCTGCAGGAACGCAGCCAGCAGCTCCCACAACAGGATAATACATATTGCTTCCTTTGCAGACATTTCTGAATCAGTATTTCCTGGAACGAGACTTAAGGATAGATTTATAAGTCTCCAGTGGGTTTCAATGGGCTGCCAAGGTGAGCACATGGTCGGAGTGGAGTTGCCTGACCTTAGTGCTGGCATCACCTGGAAACTGTGACACAGAAAGAACAACAAGCCCTGCCACACACTTCCAACTGCCAGGCGTATACACAGACACACATACACACATACACACACACAATGCACTCACACAGACACACACTCACACATGCAGACACACGCACATACACTCACACACACTAACACACACGTACTAACACACAGACACACACACACACACACACTAACACAGAGACACAGACGATGAATACCAAATAAATACAGGGAGGTGTGGAATTGTCTCAGAATATAAGAAACCAGACTAGAGAAGAGCAGGGATGATGTTCAGAATTCAAGTCACACACTGAGAAGGACCAAGATGACCAGGCTCCTGCAGTTGCTCCCAAGGAGCAGCCAGTACTCAAGCACCTGCTGGTTAAGCACAAAGACTCACCATAAACTCACAGCACCTAGCATCGTCCACAAGCCAACACCTGTCAAAGCCTCATGAAATGTATGCTGAGAGCTCACAAACTATTGCCCCATCCCCAGACTGATCCAGGCCACAGGCTCTGCTTTTCATTTGGAGGAATCACACAGCCTGTGTCCTGATATCACTCCTTCCCAGATTTCAGCTATGCCTCTCAGATGCCCTCAGGACAATTAGTTTGGGCAGAAGGACATGCAGTCTCCTGTGACCTGAGGAATGCTGGGTTTGACTCAGTAGGGTCAAGACAGTTACCAAGAAACTGAACAAAAGGACTACCTGTTGTTGTTCAAGTCCTTGTTGGTAGAATTAGCCAGGATTCCACGAAGTTCATTCCTTTCTTGGGTCATCATCTGAAGCTGCAGGGTCAGTGTAGCCACCTTGTTCATCCGCTGCTCCTGCTCAGTGACAGAAGTTGGGGTTGCTGTCTTTCCGGTACTCCCTGCAGGTAGATTAACATAAGTAAATTTATACAGTAGTATGGCACAGGACCAGGAGAGATCATGTTGAGTTCATGAGAGCCTGAGGAAGAGTGAATGCATGAAACTCAGTGAAGACCCCAAAGAGCAGGACAAGTATCCTTAAGCTGGGAGCCCATAAGCCATGCCTCTGTCTCCATTCACTGTGGTGAGCTATGTGCATCAGCCCTATGCAGCCCCACTGGCCCTGGAAGGCATATGTCACCCAGCCATGCTGCTTTGGAAGTATCAACTCATATCTGATGTGATGCAGAAAATTCCTCGAGTCTCTAGTGCTTAGCATGACGAATCTGTTTCACCCGTGGCCAGGAATGAAAGTAACTAAATGTCTGAGACCCTGCGGCATAGATGGGGATTTTCACATGAGATACCCACAGGCCCTAAAGAATCTACTGATATGAGTTCTAGCAACACCCTACTCTCACACCTTAATTGTCTCTGCCTCCTGCTGGCCTTCTTTGCCACTCCAAATAAATGAAGGAACTCACAGAACAGCAGCTGTAGCCTTGTCAACTCCTGGCTTTCTGCCAAACTAACCATCACCAATCCTTGACCATGGGTTTGCACTTTATTAACCCAGAGGCAGCATAGAACCATCTCTTCCAAAGATCCCAGCTACTGAACTTCATTTCTGGAAGTCCAGTTCAAGCCCCAACCCCCTCTTCAAAAGTCAGATCTCTCTGCCAATCGGTGTGCTCAATCTTACCAATGTGTCTTCTGGTGAACCCTATAAGTACTTAATGAGTTCCCCAAAGACACAACACTGATGATTTCACAAAAGAGGTCAATGACTCTCCAGGATGCAATAGAATGTGCAGAGAATAAACTGTTAGGGTCACTGCCAACTGCCATCACTTATCTCATAACCGTCTCTTCCCCAATTACCAAAAGCCAAGCTGTCTTTTCCAGGTGCCTTCCCTGAGACACAGGGGAAGCTCTTCAACACCTCCTTCTTCCAATCCAGAGATCTCTCTGATTAGTTAGACTCTCATTAATTCTAATTTAATACTTCACCATGTATGGAGGTCAAGACTCATTTTCCAAATATTCTTAAGGAATGGCTCTTCCCCTCCGAAGATATCTAATTAATAAGATGAGAAGCGGAAGATACTGAGAAATTAGCTCATGTTGATTTGGAAGGAACTTCAGTTCCATGAACTGAATGAGCTCCTCAGGAAAGATCCACAGGGCTGTTACAATGTGTGGGTGTGATAGGGATTGTGGGTTTCCTGTCAGACCAAAGATAAGTCACATGGGTCATGATGAAAATTTCCCCCAAATTTCAGCAGAATACATTCCATCACTCATGACGTTAGCAAAGGTGAGATCACCCAGTGACAGGACAGGCTGGAGACACCTAAGGACAGGGCATCTGCAGGTGAGCCCTCACACACTAAGAACACACTTTCAGAAAGAGTGATGGCTCATTCCTACACTCAAGTTAAAGATGATGGGCTATTTAAAGGCAGGACTCAGAAGCCTTAGCAATACTTGATGGCTCCTGCCCTGCAAGTGACTCTGAGGTATAATGTGAGATCCTCCAGCTTTAGCCAGGGGACTGTACTCTCCGTTATTAGTGACCCACAACCAAAAGAAATCCACTGTGCTGAAGTATAGTGCTTAAACTGAAACCTCATTCATCCCTCTCTACTTCCTTCCCACTTAGAGTCAATGCAGAGGGCCCTAGCACAGCAGCTGCAGGGTTGACCATTACTGGCTCTCTGCCAATCTATCCTTCAGAAATCCTAGACTCCAGGTCTACTCTTCAGGAATGAAGAGAAGCAAGATAAATCCATTACCTCCCAAAAGCTCTATGATCCAGTGTCCCACCATGAAAAACCAAGTTGAAGCCTTCCATCATCAAGTAGTTCCCCACTCCCTATACAGGACTCACTGCGTTTTGTCCAGAACCATTTATGTCTTGATGTGCGACACTGAGGTTGAAGGCCAGCTTCCTTCTGCCTCCCTCTAGTCTCGTGATGCTCTCCCTTCTGTCTCCCAAGAAGCCTGCTCAGTCTTGCCAACATGGCTATGACCAAAACCTGTAGGCAATGAACCGATGCCCCAGCGGCAGTTGGTGCTGCCACCGCACAGGTGACATCACATAGAAGGCCAGGGCTCTCCAGGATACAATAGAATGCCCAGGGAGGGGTCTGCTGCAGCCCATGGTACAGCCCTTTCCTCTCTGGCTAATTTCCTCACTCCAAAAATGACCTGAAACCAAGGTGCCATATAAGGAGCCTCTCTGACGTCAGAAAGGAAGCTCTTTGGCACATCCTCCTTTAAAAGCCATAGATCTAGCTCGCCGCTTCATTAGAAACATTATCTGTGTGGAGTTGAAGGCTCACTTTCAAAGCACTGTGCAGGAATGGCTCTTCCCTTTCTTAAGGCTCATACTGAGTAAGATGAGAAATAAATGATCCTGAGAAATTAGGCCAGGATGATGGGGATTGGGAGGGATGAGTCCTCTGAAGTGAACAGCATCTGGGGAAGATCCTCAGACTTTTAGAGATTGGTGGGTTCCAAACAAAGAGAAGTCATACAGGTAGTGATAAAAATTTCCCCGAGTGAATCAGCAGAGCTCACTCAAGCTATGAGGTTGTGAGTGAAGATGTGATTTACTCTTGACAGTTCTGGCTGGAGCCACAGGAGCCCAGATGAGTCCTCAGATATATAGAAAAATACCCTCATGGAAAGAATATAATGGTCCAAACCTTGAATCAATAAATGGAAGAAAGAGCAGTGGCAAGTCAGAGATCAGTCTGGGCTAAGTATAGGCACCGTAAGTTGGAAACACACATGCACATTCACACACATACAGAAGAAGAGGCATGGGATAGAACATGATGTAGGGCACACTATGGTGCTTCAATAAGCACCATAAACAGAAACCAAATCCCTTGGTCTGCAGTCACCAGTTATGATCTATGTGCTTGTGAATGGCTGGCACTTCTTGCTTTGAGTACAATGCCCATTAGGAGATCATGAGAAGGGCAGGAATTGGAGAGCTGGTGTTATTGAAGCAAAGAGCTTTGTTATAGCCTAACAACAACTTTCTACTTCTGACAGTCCCTGTAAAGTGGATGCAGTCCATGGTCAGCCTGGAATTCTTTTTCTCCAGATCTCTGGACTTTCTCAACGAAAGCATGTTCCTTGGAACCTAGGGCTGAGGAGGTCTGTTAGGTGATCTGTTCCATTTAAGATGTTGAAGTCCTAATCCTGTAAATGTGATTATCAACCTTTTGTTCTAAATAGGGTCTTGTAGAGATTAATAAGTTGAGAACCTATTGGAATCTAAAGCATTTGCAAAACTGGAATGAAAATGTTTTATGAACATATAGAGTGCTGCTGTGGTAAAGAAGAAGTGAGATACGGGGGGGGGGGAGAATATGATCTGCAAATCTATCCAGAATGTTAGTTTCTAGAAAGCATGGTATAAAGGATCACCAGCAAATTCCAGAAACCTTGAAAGAGGCCTGGACCCAGTTGCATCCTTGGTACTTCAGACAGCTTGGCCTTTGCAATAATTAATTGTGAGATATCACACTTTCATGAACACACTTCTCCAGCCCAGGAGATATACTTATCCACCCTAGACAAGAATGCACAAAGCCATTCTTTATGTGCCTGCCTTTCATCTCACCAATCTTGCATACAAAGAGACTTCACTGTCTTCCAAACGTCCTGAGATTCAGTTGACAGGGGACAGCACCTGCTATCCACAAAGCACCATTTGTTGAAGATGCTTTCTTTCTTGCATTGTATACTTTTAGCTCCTTTATCGAAAATGAGGTGTTCATAAGTTTGTGGGTTAACATCCGGGTCTTCTATACGATTCCATTGGTCGACTTCTCTGTTTTTATGCCAATACCACACTGTTTTCATTACTATAGCTCTGTAATAGAGTTTGAAGTCAGGGATGGCAATGCCTCCAGAAGTTCCTTTATTGTATAAGATTGTTTTGGCTATCCTGGGTTTTTTGTTTTTCCATATAAAGTTGATTATTGTCCTCTCAAGATCTGTGAAGAATTTTAATGGGACCTTGATGGGGATTGCCTTTGGTAGAATTGCCATTTTTACTATGTTGTTCCTCCCAATCCAAGAGCAAGGGAGATCCTTCCATTTTCTGGTATCCTCTTCAATTTCTTTCTTCAAAGACTTAATGTTCTTGTCAAATAGGTCTTTCACTTCCTTGGTCAGAGTTACCCCAAGATATTTTATGCTATTTGTGTCTATTGTGAATGGTGATGCCCCGCGGAAGGGAGGAGGAGTGAAGAAGGCCCCTGGATGCAAGCTGGGATGGGTCAGGGAGAGAGAGGTCAGAGCAGAGCAGGAGCAGCCCCACCAGAGGGGACCAGCCCTCGCAGAATACCTGGGGTTCAAGAGGGTCTGGGAATGCCCCCGCTCCATTTCCTGTGTCCCGCTGTGGGCCCAGAACACTCTCCCAACTCAGGAGGGTCTTCAGGGACAGGACCAGGCTCCCTGTTCGCCCGTGGACCTCGCCAATAAAAGGCCTAACCCTCTGCAGGCCAGGCCCCAAAAAACCTACTTGATTTAATTTTAGTGGGGCGATCTGCTCTCAGTGTGGGCTTCACTGTTTCATGCTTGGACTATCCCGCATCTGCCCCAGGGGCCTGCATGCCGGATCTCCTCTATGTGTTTTTTTTTTTTTTTTGGTTTTTCGAGACAGGGTTTCTCTGTGGTTTTGGAGCCTGTCCTGGAACTAGCTCTTGTAGACCAGGCTGGTCTCGAACTCACAGAGATCCGCCTGCCTCCTCTATGTGTTTTTAATAGATGGAGTAGAAGCTATATTGATCAGAAAGAATTTTAGTACTATGAACTTAACCTAGTTAATCCTTTTATTTTCATGTGGGCTATGATGAGAATTCTGGTACTCAATTCAAACTCTCATAGTGACAGGGAAGCAATCCTTCATTTCCACAAGTATCCCAAGGATTCCTGT